AAGTAACTGCAAAGACCATGAACTGGAGCAGACACACCTTCTGGGCTATAACCAAACACCACGAGGTAACAAATCTCTGGGCCTGGGAACTTAGGACCACAGTTTCCACAGACACTACGGTCATGTGACATAAAACAGTTCACAAAGACAATATTCTATACTACTTTGACAAATAGTGATTGTTGTCATTAAGTGCCATTAAGTTGCCTGCAACGTATAGCAACTCTATGTACAACAGCTCTAAACTCTGCTCTATTCTCAGCTAACCTCATCACCTCCAACATATCACCTCCAACATACCCATTCCCATTACTCCAGTCACAGAGTCAATCCATCTCATCAAGGGTCTTCCACTCCTGCGCTGTCCCTCCACCCTCTCAAGCATGATGTCCCTCTACAAGGACTGGTCCCTGCTTGCAACATGCCCAAAGTATGTCCGATGGAGCTTCGAAATCCTTGTCTCCAAAAAGCAGCCTGCTTTCACCCACTCCAGGACAAACTTGTTTGTTCTCTTAGCCATCCATGGTATATTAAATATTCTTCTCCAGCACCATATTTCAAAGGCATCTATTCTCATTCTATCATCTGTAGTCATTGTCCAGCTTTCTGATGCACTGCAAGTAATGGCCTGGGTCAGCCGCACCTTAGTCTCCAGAATGACATTCAGTATTCTGAAGAGGTTCCTGACAGCAGATTCTCCCAATGCAATGTCTTTTGATTTCCTGGCTCCTGGTACCAAAAGTGTTGATTGTGGAGCCAAGTAAACTGAAGCTGTTAACAATCTCAATCTCTTTAATCTTTATCATGATGCTGCCAATTGGCCAGTGGTGAGAATCTCTGTCTTCTTGATGTTGAGCTTCAATCCATATTGAAGGCTACAGTCCTTGCCTTCTGCAGCAAATGCCTCAGGTTCTCTTCAAGGTTGTGTCAGCTGCATAACACAGTTTGTTGATGAGTCTTCCTCCAATTCTGATGTCACATTCCTCCTCATAGAACCTAGCCTCCCAGATGATCTGTTCCACATATAGATTGTAAGGGTATGGAGACAGGATGCAAACCTGGTGTGCACCCTTCCCAATTTTGAACCATGCAGTGTTTCCTTGCTCTGTTCTGATGACTGTCTCCTAATATGGGTTTCACATACGCACAATCAAGTGTTCTGGGATTCCCATTCTTCTCAGAGTCAGCCACAGTTTGTTGTGATCCACACAGACAAATGCTTTTGCAGTCAATGAAACACAGATAGACATTCCTTTGGTGCTCTGTGCTTTCACTCAAGATCCATCTAACATTAGCTATAATATTGCTAATGCCATAGCCTCTTCTAACCAGCCTGCACATCAGGCAGTCTTAAAAATTTTTAAGGGTTCATCTAAGATACAAATGTTGGTCTCCCCAGCCTGAAGGAAAAAAGAGTGAGGAAAACCAAAGACACAAGGAAACAATTTGTCCAAAAGACTTATGAACCATGTGACCCTCAGCTTCCACAACTCTGAAACCAGAAGAATTCGATGGTGTCAGCTACTAGTCCTTACTGTGAAAGGAATCGCAGTACAAGGCCCTTGGACAGAGAAGAGAAACATAAAATGAAATGTAAAAAAAAAAAAAAATTAAAACCAGTAAGACCAGGCTTACTGGTTTGAAAGAGATTGATAAAAAATCCTCAAAACTATGGCCTCTAGGTACCCTTCAAACCTGGAACTGAACTCATTCCTGTGGCCCAGCTTTGAGCTAAACAATAGCCAAGTTTTTAAGATGAACACCACCAACAAGGCACGCAGTCTTTGAACAATCAACTGTCTGAAATGAAAGGGGCAGCAGGTGCCCAGATATCTAACTCACCTCAGAGGACAGGAAGGAATAGGATAGAAAGACGAGGTAAATGGGAAACACAGGGAGAAGTGTGAAGAGTTCTGTTACATCATGGGGATTTCAGTCAAAGTCACAAATCAAAATGGGCATGATTTACTAAATGGAAAACTAATTTGTTCAGTACACTTGCACACAAACCACAGCAAAAAATTAAACATAAATTCACTAAAACCAATAAAATACAGGTCCTACTAACACATAAGGTCATCACAAGTCAGAGTTGACACAACAGTAACTGATATAAAAAACCTAAGAGTGTATCTTTTGTTTAGCAAATCCATCTTCAGAACTACATCCAACAGAAATAGTAAAGGTAGGAAAATCTTCAAGTAAACACATTTGCATAAACACTCAATAGGTCCATCTAGATAAACAAAGCACTTTACATCAACAAAATGGAAAGCAGACACTAGAAAAAAAATATGGAAGATCTGCTTATGCAGAAATGAAAACATATTCACTACATATTATTAGGGGTCAGAAGAAAGTATTAGAACAATATGATGTCATTGTTATTTTAAAAATAAAATCCTACATCTACTTATACATTTATCTCAACATGCTAAAAAAAAAAATTCTGAAAAGTGTTAACGGTTACATTGAGCAAATGCGATGGCTACACTATGTAAATTTTTGCAGCACACCTGAACTATAGTTTGTTGTTGCTTCTTTATGCCAAGAATAAATAATGATTGAAAGCAAACTCTAAAGCCTAAACTCTAAAACAGCCTGGATATGCAGGTCTACCATGTACCAGCACTTGTGACCATTCTACCTCAGTATTCTTGTATGTAAAATAAGAAGAGGACCAAAACTAACAATAATGACTAGGTCTGGAGACTTGGGTGAGTAATAAATGAGTTAACAAGTGAGATGCATTTAAAATGACATCTAGCACACAGTCGGCACCATTTTAAAGAGACATTGAGTCCACCAGGGTATTCTCCATATGTAATCTAGATTCTCAAGCAACAAACAAAATTATCAATATACATTTATTTTTTTTCCAATTCATTGGCTTTAGGTAATTAGCAATAGTCTGGTTTTAAGCTTTGTGACAATTCTTTGAGGAAAGTTTACAGACTTTTAAAAGATGGTGTGTCACAATGGAATGTCTGGGAGAAAGGTGACCCAGGGCCCAGGCTTGAGCGCCACTACCCTGTGTGAGGAGACCCCTGACCTATCTGAGACTCAGATAATGTCCAAAGTCCCTCCTAACACCAAAAGTTTAATATCCTAATAGGACAGTTTTACTGTTTAAAATCATTCTAAATCTTTATCAATTCACAGTCTTCAAACTAATTCACAGCAACCCTCTATTGAGTTTCTGAAGCTACTGTCCCGTGAGCAGCTGGTGAGACAAACTGCTGCTCTCTAGGCTAGTAGATACATGTGTTACACAACACACAGCCAGGGCTCTATAAACCTTTACCGTTGCCTCAAAAAACAAACCAACCAGCCTGCTAATCAATATACCCTATATCTTAACTACAATTACTTATTAAAATACAGGCCTTACAAAAGAAAAAGTCCTTCAATAACACTATTTTGGAAAGCCCATTAGCTACTGAAACTTCATACAATGACACTTTAATTTTTTTTACATTATTATTTTTATTATTTGAGTGAATGTTTACAAAGAAAATTGATTTTTCATTCAATCATTCATCCACACTTTGCTTTATAATCCTAACAATGTTTACTGTATAATTGCACTCTTGCAACTTCTCCCCGTAACTTTATCCACTAATTATTCTATCCTTTCCTGCCTTCTGGGATTTATCTCTGGGCAAATGTTGCCCTTCTGACCTCATCTGGTTGACTAATCTAATGGGTAGGTGCCCTCCAGGTATTCACCTCACAGGTCTGCCAATAATTTGGCTGAAAGTTAAGTCAAAGGTTGTGAGTTTTGCTCCAAGTTGGAAACTTTTTTTCATAACAAAAGGACTAAGTCTCAAGAGTTCAGAGTCGCTATTGAACCAGTAAGTATGGCCTTATTTATGCTTTTGAGTACTGTTAATCCCCCTTGCTCTCTGGGTTTTATCCTTGGACAAATGCTCTCTTTTGACCTCACATGGCTAGGTGTGTTAAGACGTGAGTGCCTCCCTAGTGCCAGTGGTCCCTAATAAGCCTAGTATGTGGCCAAAAGTTGAGCCACACAGGAGATTTTTGTTCCAGATTCAAAAGGTGACTATGTGTCACAGTCTCAGTGTTCCATCCGTCACTATGGAACCACTAAGCCTGATCTAACTTGTTTTCGAGTTTTGTTCAACATTTTTCCTTCACTCCCACCACCAGTTCTATCCAGGATCTTCTACAGGGATCCTTTCAGAGTAGGCAGCCATGGCAGCTGGGCACCATCTGGTTCTTCAGTCTCAAGGTCATGGAACTTGATGCTCAAGGAGTTCCTTAGCACTGTGGACTAACTGCTTCTTAAAATCTTGGCTTTTCTCCTCTCTTCTTTGTTCTGGATAGGGAGAAACTCTGGACAGCTGCTCATAAATTTTTAAGACTCCATTTACTACTCACAAAATCAGAATATAAAATTAGAATGCCTTGTGGACTCTATTATACCAACTAAACTTCACGTTTCCCAATATTATAGTCCTGAGTCCTCAGAATCAACAACTTACTCCTTTGTTTAGGTTTGATTGAGAAGCTTAAATAGTTTGCCCAATGTTGGTGTAATTATATACATATTTACATTATACACTAACGTGAATGTAGTGGTTTAGAGGGTAAGGAGTTGTCCTGTCAATCCAAAGGCATGCTGTTCAAATCCACCAGCTGCTCCATGGGAGAAAGATGGGTGATCTCCTCCCACGTGATTTACAGCCTCTGAAAACCCACTGGAGGGTCAGCTTTGCATGGGTTCTGATTTGATAGCCAATAGCAATAACATATCTATTCATCTTGCCAGTCTGCCTATATATCTGCTTGGTAATTCCATTTCTTTACAAGCTCACATCTTTCATTCACTTAAATGGTTTCTTTCCAGCCAGTCCCTCCTGACATAAATAGAAATTTGAAGTGTTTTATTCCTGTTCACATCTGTTTAAACCCTTACATACACTCAATGCACAGTAAAAACATCAGGCATACATGTGACGAGAACACAAACCACTTACGCGGAATGCTGCAAGGATAATCCTGGTGACTTTCTCTTTGACAGATTCTTGAAGGATATCAGACAGGACAGGAATGATATTGTAGCGGCGCAGGTGTTCACACATTTGAGGGCTGAATGCCAGCAGCCATATGGAAAAAATCATCTGATACTGGAGCTGAAAGCCACACTTGTTACTCAAAACTCCCATGATGCTGAAAAGAAACACATTTAGAAAACATACTTCATATGACAGCATAACAGGAAAGAAGAAATGACTGACTGTTCTTATGTGTTTGCACTAATGCACAAGTCTCTCTAATTATGTTCACAATTTCTTTTCCACCAGCAATGAAAAGCAGTGATTCTCTGACTCGTAGGAAGCCATCTTCCACCGAGGCTGTTTAGCCCTGCTTCCAAATGTTGTCACATCTCGGGGGCAGCAGCACTCACATAAAGAGCTAAGAGAAGTGCAGTAAAGAATCAAATTACAGCACAGAAAATGCTAAGAGCAGATAGACACGAGAGTATAAAATCAACAGGACTTAGCAACAAGCTTCTAAGTATGGGTGGAAGCAAATGCTACATCAATGACATGCTAAGCCTAGTCAATCAAAAGGATCACTTGTAGATTTAAAATATATACTGTTGTTGTTATTGTATGCCACTGAGTCAGAAATGGCTCATAGCTGACCCCCTGCAGGTTTTCAGAAACTATAAATTGCACAGGAGGAGACTGTTCATCTTTCTCCCAAGAAACAGTGGATTCAAACTGCCTGCCTTTAGATTGGAGGCATAACTCCTTACCATTAAGCCACCAGAGCTCCCTTAAACAGTACAGAAAACCAGAAACAGAAAACAGAAGGACTTTGGAAGAAACTTCTGCTGGGTTTAAATCTGGCAAAGCCAAGCACTGCATTTAAGATTTTCAAAGATTTCAAAAACCTCTAAACTGACTTTTTTTAAAATTAATAAGTAGAAACAAAACAAAAAAGACTTTTTGTTTACTAATAAGGAAATTTCACCTATGAATCTAATGAAAAAATAAATTTTTTTATACCCAAATATTCACAATTAAAAAAAACATCCTAGTAAAGGAAAATAAAACCCTGTTTACTGAGATGAGGAAGTTACTCATTTAGGGACAAAACTCCTAATGCTCCACATGACAACGACCATACTAAGTAAGGAAACACAAAGGGCATATAGACCAAAAATTCACTGCCATCAGGTCAGAATGAGCTCATAGCTGACTCTCCAATGCATTTGCAGAGGGTGTAAATTGCACAGTTTATTGCTCATTGTTCTCTCAAGAAGCAGCTGGTGTACTCAAATCACCAGACACATGCGGACTATGGGTCACAGTTTTCCTACAAACCTGTACTAAACCTGACTATATTAACATCACACCACCTATTTGTTGAGAACCTATGTGGCAGTAGAGTGTAAGACCCTGGGCCAATGTGGGAGGTGAAAACATTGTACTGAAAAAATTGAGAAGCCTAGCACTGGGAAGGTAATGAATCCCTGAGGACAGCACCACAGTTCAAAGGTATCAATTCTTCTTCTGTCTTCCTTAGTCACTGTCCAGCTCTCAGATCCACAGCGAGTGACTGAAAATACCAGATGCACATTAGTCTTCAAACTGCATTCTTTGATCTTCTGAAGCAAGCATTTCAAATCCTGCTCCATTTCAGCAAGCAAGGTTGTGTGTGTCATCTGCCTTGTGAAAAAAAGTTGTGAAAAAGTCTTCTTTAAGTCCTGATGCCACACTCTTTAGAGTCCAGCTTCTTGATTTATTAGCTCAGCATACGAATTGAATAGGTAGGAAGAAAGGATAAAACCAGGCACACACCTTCCTGATTTTCAATCATGCAATGTTTCCTTGGTCAAGGTGTAGGTTTTGAATAAGCGTAACTAATTGTTCTTGGGTTCTCATTCTTTTCAGTGTTAGCCATAGTTTACCACGATCCACACAGTCAAATGTCTGCATGATTATTAAAACATAATAGGCATTCTTCACTTGAATTCTCTGCTTTCACCCACAATTCATCTGATAGCAGCAGTGATATTCTGGGTGTCATGGTCTCTTCTAAAATCAGTTTGAACTTCTGGTAGTTCTCCATTAATATACTGTTTGTTCTAGCCATTTTTTTTCTTTAGCAATATTGTGCTTGTATGTGATATTAATGATATTATTTAATAATTTCCACCTTTTGTTGGATCACCTTTCTTGGGAATGTGAACAAATATGGATGGATCTTTTCCAGTTAGCCCGCCAGGCATCTATGGTTCAAATTTTCTAGCATAGACAAGTACACATGCCCAGGCCTGCATCTGTTAGTTCAAACATGTCAACTGGTATCCCATTGATTCCTGGGGTCTTATTTTTTTGCCAAAACCTTCAGGGCAGCCTGAACTTCTTCCTTCATTACTACTGGCTCTTGTTCATATAGTCCATAGTGACAATTAACAGAGGAAGGGGTTTAAAATCATTTGGTAAATTAGAAAATGACAGCAAAGGGGCAGGCAGCATTCTAGTCTCTTAACGTTGTTGTTGTTGTTGTTGTTGTTTGTTGTTGTTGTTGTTAAGTGCCATCAAGTCGTAGGTGACTCATAACGATCCTATGAACGAAAGACCTGAACGCTGAACACTTGTATAACTGTAATCTTTTCTCCAGGTCCATAGGGTTTCCAGAGGCAAGCTATTTTGGAAGTGGATGCCACTCCTGCTTCCAAGCTTGTTTTAATTGGGGAGCTCCACCAACACTGTCTACTATGGGTAACCGTTATCACATTTGACACATCAATGTCACAGAGTTCAGCTTCACAGCAACCATGAATTACCTCTGTACAGCAAGTGGACAGAACAGGGCGCTATGACCTAGAAGAATGATCAAAAACAACTAAAAACAGGCCTGAGGGCCATGGATTAAAGTCACCCACCTTTGGCTTGGTAGCATCATTTTCTGTCCACTAGGCTAACTGATCTCTCTCTCTATGCTGCTGTTGTTGTTAAGTGCCATCAAGTCATAGGCGACTCATGGCGACTCTATGAACTAAAGACATAAACGTTTGTTTACGTTTCATCCTTTCTCCAGGTCCATAGGTTTCCGGAGGCAAACTATTTTGGAAGTGGATGATTATGAAATTGGTCATATAGATGAACCTCAAATTCAATTTTCAGATGACTATCATAAATGAATTTTCAAACTCAAGAATCAGTAAAGGAACAAAGCTTTTCTGAAGATAATTAAAGAAATATAGTGGGCGGGGTGGGGGGGAAGAAATATAGTATGCTGAGTGAGCCATTCAAAAGACAAGACTTCCTTCCAGACACTATTCTGTGGTATGAACCTGGAACTCTCGACTTTGTTAAAAGTGGATGTGAAGACTGCCTATAACTTTTATGATATCTGTGCCATTGTGCCAAAATTTATTACAAAAAGGTTTACTAAATTTAACTTCTTATTAAAACCTCTAATAGATGATTTTACTACATCTTTATTCTAAATTCTATTTTAAAGGATCCATTGGATTTAAACAGCAAACTATAACAAAAATGATTGGCTTTTGCATACTAAGGGCTAAGTAAACATGAATAGACTGTCATTTTGCATATTAACGTAAGAATAATTATTAATATACTCAGTCAGTTGTTGCTAACTAGTCCATGAATTAGATGGTCTTTCAAAGATTAAAATATAGCCTTTCATTTTAATAAAAAAGAGGTACTCCCATGAACTAAAAAATTATACATAATTCTTAAGAACAATCATTTGGGAGTAAACCACTCAGTAAAGGGCATATAAACCCAAGCTGAGGAGATCCAGGTCTATCTCTATGCTGGAAACAGATACATCACTTCTCCAGAGTCTGAAAACCCTGGGTTCAGTATCTTTCATTCAACATTTCTTGCTCTAAATCCTTGGTAACCAAGATACTTTTCTATTGCTAATTAAGTTTCTGACAGATAATTTCTGTAACAGAAACAGTATCTTCACTAAATGAAAAGATACTTTTTAAAAAATCATTGTATCTTTCAATATGTATAAATAAACTGGCTTTCTGATCATAAAACATATTTTTAAGTGATGCAGGAGGTAGTGAGGTTGCTTTTGTGGTTGTTATGTACTGTCGAGTCACTTGTGACTCACAGCAACCCTATGTACAACAGCCCTAAACCCTGTTCTATCCTTTGCCAATCTCACTGTCTCAGACATGCCTTTCCCCGTTACCCCAGTGACCGAATCAATCCATCTCATCAAGGGTCTTCCTCTCCTGCGCTGTTCCTCCACCCTTCCAAGCATGATAGCCCTCTCCAAGGACTGGTCCCTCCTTGGGACATGCTCAAACTATGTCAGACGAAGCTTCAGAATCCTTGCCTCCAAGGATCAGAGCAGCCTGGCTTCACCCTCTTGTTCGTTCTCCTATTAGTCCATGGTATATTTAATACTCTTCTCCAGCACCAAAGCTGAAAGGCATCAACTCTCTTTCTATCATCCCTAGTCATTGTCCAGCTCTCTGAAGCATAGCAAGTAATGGCAAAGACCATGGCGCACGTTAGTCTTCAGATGGACATTGTTTCTCCTCAGTACCTTGGCGAGGTTTCTGACAGCTGGCTTTCCCAATGCAATTTATCTTTTAATTTCCTTGCTACTGGTACCAGGAGCATTGATTGTTGAGTCAAGCAAACTAAAGCTGTCAACAATCTCAATCTCTTCATCATCTCTCATGATAATGCCAATCAGCCCAGTAGTGAGAATCTTTGTTTTCTTGACTTTGAACTTCAATCCATATTGAAAGCTGCAACTCTTGACCTTCTACAGCAAGCACTTCAGGTCCTCCTCAGTTTCAACAAGCAGAGTTGTGTCATCTGCATAATGCAGATTTTTGATGAGTCTACCTCCAATCCTGATGCCACACTTCTACTCAGCCTCCTGGATAATCTGTTCTGCATACAGATTGAAAAGATATGGAGATAGAACACATCCTTGACACACAACCTTCCCAATTTTGTACTATGCAGTGTTTCCTTGCTCTGTTCTGATGACTGCCTTCTGGCCCAGATATAAGTTTCACATAAGCACAATCAAGTGTTCTGGGATTCCCTTTCCTCTCAAAGTCAGTTTGTTGTGATCCACACAGTCAAACACGCCTTTGCATAGTCAGTGAAATACAGATAGACATTAATTTGGTACCCTCTGCTTTCAGCCAAGATCCATCTGACATTAGCTATAATATCCCTAGTGCCACAGCCTCTTCTAAATCCAGCCTGCACTTGAGGCAGTTCTCTGTTGATGTGCTTTTGGATGATCTTCAACAGAATCTTGCTTGCATGTGATTTCAATGATATTGTTCAATAATTTCCACACTCTGTTGGATCACCTTTCTTTGGAATGGGAACAAATATAGATGTCTTACAGGCAGTAGGTCAAGTGGTTGTCCTCCAGATCTCTTGGCACAACTTGATGAGCACATCCATTCATGGGGTCTTGTTTTTTGCCAATTCTTTCAGAGCAGACTGAACTTCCTCCTTCATCAACATAGGCTCTTGCTATATGTTGTTCCATTACTTTGTGAAACCTGAGTAAACAATTTCTCAAAGTTTGAAGAGTAAATTATGACTAGTACAATAGCCAGTATATGACATTATAAAAGAATTCTTTTCTGAGTAAGACATCTATTTGGTACGGTTTTTTCTTTCATTCCCCATACTTTTATAATTGTTTTTTGCATTCTGACTATGTAGCTTTGTTATCAAGTGCTGGTGTTCTCGGGATGTTGAAAACTCTTAAATCATGACAGATGGAGAAAAGACTGAAACTGTCAACTATTTCATCTTGCTTAGATCCACAATCAATATAACATTTAGTAAAATAATAATAATAATACCCTAGGCACCAGTAGGCAGGATATCAGTAGATGTATTGGACTGGGAAAGTCTTCAGTCAGGGACTTCTCTAAATTATAGAGGAGTAGTGATGTCTGCTTGAAGACCTGATTCAGGCCATGGTCTTTTCACTTGCTATGCATCTGAGAGCTGGACAATTAAGAACAATGACTGAAGAACTGATGTCTTTGAACTGTGGTGTTGGAGAGGAGTACTAAATATACCAAGGACTCCCAAAAGAACAAACAGATATGTCTTGAAGGAAGTACAACCACAATGTTCCTTGGAGTCAAAGAAACAAAGTTTCATCTCACATACTTTGGCCATGTTGCTAGGAGAGGCTATTCCTTAGAGACGGGTATCATGCTTAGAAAGGTGGAGCACTGGTAAAAGAGAGGAAGACCCTCAACTAGATGGATTGACAGAGTGACTATAGTAAGGGGCTCAAGCATGTCAGAAATGGTAAGGATGGCACAGGATAGGACAGGGTTCAGAGCTGTTGTTCATAAAGTAACTACAAGTTATACTTGACTCATCACCACCTAACAACAGCAATCTCTTACAGAGAGTTCTAGTGGCATAGTTCCTAGCATGTTGTACCACTAACTAAAAGGCCACTGGTTCTAATCTACCAGCAGCTCTGAAGCAGAAAGACTAGCAGTCTCTTTCCTTTAAAAATTATAGCCTCAGGGGAGCTCTGGTGGTCTAGTGGCAAGAAGCTGCAACTACAATCCCAGAGGTGCATGGTTCGAATCCACCAAATGCTCTGCCGGGGAAGGAGGGGCAATCTCCTCCTGTACCAGTCAGATTTGATTTGACGGTACATGCACACAAAAATAATAAAATAAAATTTAAAAAAAATTATAGCCTCATGGCTTCTGGAGCCCCCTCTGTGGAGAAGGCTGGTGCCAAGGGAGGGGAAACTGAGTGCTGGCTGGAAATGCCTTCACTTTCCAACTACGTGGCACTGCTGTCAGCCAGTATTTTGTGGGGACCCAGCGGTGTCCCCTGTATTTCATTGTTAGGTGCTTTGGAGTTGATGACTCATAGCGACTCTATCTATGAACTACAGATCTCAACTATAAGGGGGATTCTGCCAACTTCCAATACCAGAACTGTGGGACACTGCTGTCAAACAGCTCCTGCGTGGAGGTGGCAGTTTTCAAAACTCCTTTAGTTCCCAGAAAGTCCCTGAAACCATCTGTAAAAGCAAGGACTGCGCTCTTCAAACCACCATGCAAGCTCTGGGATATTGTCAGCCTGACTGCTATGCAATCCATCAGATGAGGTTCATGTGTCAAGTCACCATTTGTGTTTTCTTAAAAAGTCAGCAGTTATAATTAATGTACCTTGATTGCATGTTTGGCCAATTTTGGACTGCAAAACTTGGTAAAAATCTTAAGTTTCCTCCTCTTTAATTATTGTGATTCTCAACAAAACCACAGAAACATGTGGCTTAGGGGCTTCAGTTCTTCCAGCTATGTGCCCCCTGCCTTCACCCTTTCTGGCCTATCCTCCATTCCTGTGTGTCCCCATCTCTGCCTTTTCCCTTGGCATAAGGAGGATATAAGAACTGATGTCTTTGAAATGTGATGTTGGAAAAGATCATTGACTATCTCATGGACTGCCAAAAGAGCTAACAGATACATCTTGGATAAAGTGCAACCAGATGACAGCAAGGTGACAAAGCTTGTTTCACACACTTTGGGCATGTTGCTGTTGTTTACCTGACCCTCCAGCAGGCTTTCAGAAACAGAAAATTGTACAGGAAATTGCTCATCTTTCTCCCACAGAGCATCTGATGAATTCAAACCACATGCCTTTGGGATTGCAGGACATCTTCTAACTGCTAGGTCACCAGAGCTCTTGTGTTGTTGAGGATCACTGAGTCAGAATTGACTCATACTTGACCCTCCAGCAGTTTTTTAGAGGCAGTATATCCCCCAGGTGGAGATTGCCCACCATTCTTCTGCAGAATAACTGGTGGATACAAACTGTGTACCATCAGGATGTCAGCGCAATTCCCTAGCAACAAGCCACCAGAACTCCCTAAGGAGACTATTCATTGGAGAGGGACATCATGAATGGAAAGGTGGAGAAACAGTGAAGGAGAGGAAGATCTCAACCAGATGGATTGACACAATGACTATAGCAATGGGCTTGAGTGTGTCCAGAGATTGTGAGGATGGCACAGGATAGGACAGGGTTCAGATCTGTTGTTTATTCTGATGGATTGTCTTTTACCAATTTGAAAATATTTCACCCAATTTAAGAACAAGATGGGGGGGGAGGGGCAGGGAACAAGAACAAATTGGACTCTTAAGCAAGAGAATAAAGAACCTTGACCCAGCAGCAGTGAAATGTCAAGGTATTTTGAGTCTTCTCATAAGGAGTATTCAGCCCACCAACCATGCTGTCATTCAATAACTCCAGACCCGGGCTCCCATCTTGGCCCCTCTGCATCTGAAGTGTGCTGGGAGGGGAAGGAGGAGTTCCCATCAGGTGGAAATTAGAGAAAAATGGAGACATGAGTATTAAACTAGTAGCTTTATTGCCCTTTAAAAAAAAATTATAGCCTCAAAATCATGAAAATGATTGTATGAAACACAATGTGAATGGAGAATAGTGTGAAACACAATGTATACAAACTTTGTAAGCCAATCAATTTGGGAAAAAAGTGAAAAAATTTTTTAAAGTGAAAAAAAACGACAGCCTCTAAAATGAAATGGAGGGTTACTATGAGTTGGCATGAATTCAACAGCAATGGGTTTGGGATTTAAACTTCTTATAAGGAGTTCCTGGGTTGGAAATTTGAGTCTATCTGGAGATGCCTCAGGGTGAAAAAAATTGCATAGTAACCTACATCCAAAAAAAAAAAAACCCTTCTGAAAAGCCTATGGGTGCTAATTCTCTGACACACCTGGAGTCACTGGAAATTGATTCCTGAGCAACAGGTTCCAGTTTTTGTTTGCTGGCTTGCTTGCTTGGTTATTAACCCTGCACAGTAACAACAACATAAACCAAAGATGGAATGATCAGTCTGGCAGTGACTGACTTCCAAAAGTATAAAAATAAAAAATTCTTTCAGAGGACTGAATGGATTCATTTTCAAAAAACAATTAAAGAATAATGATTTTAAGTCACTTCTGATTTAAAAGTAAAAAGGCACTCACCAGTTTACGCCATCTGCCTCAACCCACGCAAAGCGGTACTCGTTAACCCGGAGCATCAGCTGAAGGCACCCAGCAACACACTGCACATACTGAGAACTCTACATAAGAAAATGTGTAAAGCTTAAACAGTAGAAGGCATTAACAGTCAAAAGACCAAACACAAACACTGCTATTAAAGAAAGTCAGATTTTGTTTATTACTAGTGTTTGTTAGCATCAGAACATCTAATATTTCCCACTGTCTTCTCAAAAGTCAATCCTAACATTGCTTTTATCTCCACCTCTTAGAAACAAAGATGATTGCATCTCCCAAACTAAACCCATACAATTCAAGACTATTAACATATATTTAGGGAAACCAAGAAATAAGTAGGGTCCCCGGCATGATCTCTTAACTGTATTGCTTTGCAAGGTTTCATCTACTCTTGAATAAGGGCACCACATAGAAAATATCACTCTACACGACCATAAAAATATCAAAGAACAGTAAGATTAGCAATAAAGTAAATGTTTTGGGGCAATCCTATACTTTAATGTCCTGGGGCAAGTTACTAGACATCTCCAATACTAAGTTTCTTCATATTCAGTGGATATGTCACCATCTGATACCTTGAACTGAGTACTCTATGGATTAGGTGAAATAGCTCATTAAGCATACAGTGAGATGTATCACAGAAATACAATAAACAGGAATTTTAAAAAGATCATAATAACATATAAAAAGTCTAAGTATCTTTTTATAGGAAAATATTTTCATAAAATATAGAAATACTACAATTAAAAATATTATAAATTCAACAGCATCATCTCTGAGAAACTGATCAACAGTTGAAGGTTAAGATAAACAGGCTTTATCCAGGAGGTTGCAGGTCCCAACTTTTGCCAAAGCTCAGGAGAATCTGTGGCCATGGCTGTTCTCTAAATATTTACAATGAGCTTTACTGTAATTAGAAATGGAGAAACGAGGAATCTGCAATTTCTTAACAAAGAACATGCCAAATTAAAAAAAAATCTATGAAGTAATCATTAATGTTCATTATATTAATTCACAAAACCTAACACAATGATGTTACTAGACTGTTTTCTAATTTGAACAATATTCTTTATAACACCGAAGAAATTCCAGGCACTCAAATTTACAAAATATACATAACATTGCTTATAAATACTAAATGCTATAAATAACATTTAGAGGAATAGTCAAAAGTTGCCAAGAAAAGATGATCTTAGGTTTTTACCTAGAAAATGTTGAAAAACTGTTGTAAAAAGTACAATGTTACGGCACTGAAGTCTATGGGGGAGAGAATAGTCTAAAAGTATTATATTTTAGGGC